ACCAGTCTATATGAATTCTCTATCTTCCGCTTGAATTGGCTTTCAACATTCCAATTTTCATACTTCTCTTTTGTCCAAATGGGCGGCCAAAAGACAGCAAGCAAAATCGGGGCGGAAAGTGCATGGTTAATGGTAGTAAAAACTGAACTGAACTTGAAACCTATTGATGCCACCACACACCTATCAACCGACGGGTCAGGGAACACCAAAGCCTTTTCACATTTGATCATCTACTCAAACAGCAGAAGCGTATGGACGCCAAGCAACATACCGTTCAACTGTTCCTGACACTCAGAGACCAACCGAAATCTCAAAAGCCCGGTGGCCAAGCAAACTAATCTGCGTTGTTCTAACACACATACGAAACATTTAATTGCCACTCGATTGTGGTCCTGATTTGAATCGCACCAGGCCAGTTGTTTTTCTCACATTCAGAACTACCTCTCATATCTCGAATGTGGACCAGAACATAATTTGAACCTAATCACATCATTCAATTGCCCATAAAATATTAGTGATGGCTTTACTGTCCTGAAAAAAAAACAAGTGCAAAGGGAGAATAGTTTTTAGCTTACCTGTAACAGGCGCTCCGTTTCCAAAGACAGCCCGCCAACTTTGGCTCGGACTTGTTTCACCAAATTAACAAGGGAACGACCGAATTGGACATGACGCAGCAGACATCGCATCTCATCCGTATCTGGTGTAGCCTCATCCAACTCCGCTTCAGAACGACGTTTGGTAGTGGTAGTTAGTGGACTGCTTGTCGCTGTATTTCCGAGGGGGATAGACCCAACACGCTCATCATCCTCGTCAATATCCATAGAGGATGTATTTGATACGGATGGTAGGGAGGTGGCGGCAGGTGCGGAAGAAGTTTGTTGTCGTGGTGATTCGACGGCACTTATGTGATGCGGGGAACGGGGCGAGGACGTAGTTTGTGGAAGCTTCGAGTGGTTCAAATCTGCAGGAGCAGAAGAGGGAGCAGCACTTGAAGGTGGGGTCAGTAGAACATTTAAGGATACGCCGGTATCATCATCCATACCAAACCCGTCGTCATCGTCTTCATCCTCGTCGCATTCATCCACGTCGTGAACTTCTTCGTCTGCGGTATCATCCATCAACATCAAGAGATCGTCATTATCCAAACCCGAGGCTGGCCCTGATTCTACTGAACACGGTCCATTACTGGTGTGGGAAGATGAAGCACGGGGTTCAGGTTGGCCGTTTAACTGTCGGTTTGGTTCTTCGGAGTCTACATCCATACTGACGTTTGTCGGAGCCACACCGTTCTGACAGATCACCGAGAGGGAAGAAGGCCAAAGAATCCAGTAAGATCCGCCAATTAGGATAACACCAGAATTCACAAACAACTAATAACTAAACAGTCGCTCTAACCGTTTTACTAATCGTGAATTGAACAGTCAAAACAAGTAGTACTGTTTCTCCTCAATCGTAGTATTAGTACCAGAAGATCACAAACAAATTCAGTGATTAGATTATTTGCGCAACTAATTTTGCAGGCACTTGACAGAAAGCATTTATCAAATCGGCATTATATCTCCCATTTGTCTGGAGCTCAGGAACGCTTGACCGTGGTTATCATTTTTATTAGCTTCACGTGAAAAGGCGGGCACTTTTATCTTTTATATTGCAGACATCTGTCTAGGTTACCAAGAGTTGGTGATTCCGGAGCAACTTTAATTCACACATTCATCGAGCCCAAAGAAGGAGATTATAATCGTTTAGGTGGAAAATCTCATCCAGGAACAGTTTTGGTTATACTGATTGTAAAATTGAAAAAGCATAAGGTAAATCATTTACCTCAAGAGTCACCGAGGTAGGTCTGACTACGCGTTCCGAGGACACACAACACCCAGAACGAACGTTCTGAGCTCCGGAAGTCTTCTGTACTTTTGGTGGGGCTGTGGCGGAATTAGTTGAACTAGACTCCGAAGCCGGATCAAAAGCAGCATTTCGGTCGCGGCGCACTGCGTGACGACGCATCTGACGTAACACAAAAGGGGTAAATGAAAGCGATCATTTGGTTTCTTATTCCAATAAGTGAATGCAGTAGAAGGGATGTGGTGATAGGTTGTGTTAACACTTTAACTTGCATCGATATTGTTTTTTGTTTCATGCTTGCAGAAGTTATTACAATACAATGCAATACAACACTACACCCCAATTATGAAAGAGTAAGGATTAGTGTTGAATTTAATTGATTTGGACTCTCTAAAAAAGACAAACCTTACTGTTCAAGGATATACACAGAGTGGTGAAGGAAACATTAGAATGGGAACCAGTTTAGCGACTCTGTGTTTAAGGATAAGGATGTTTTGAGTTGGACAGAGGAGGGAAAGAGGAATTTTACCGCAGTTATGTGGTTCCTCTTATTTGTTTTTTGACGATGACCGAATGTTAGAAATGCGACATCTGGGAACAGTCTCTTAAAACGAGCAACTAGCCGGTAATGTACGGGGCCTATGAGGAAGAACAAAAAGATGAAACAGAAGAGAACTTTGGTTAAAAAAACCAAAGTTCGAGAGAATACGGCTAAGGAGTCAACTGCCCGATAGAGAGCTAGTGACTACAAATTACATGTTGGAGACAGTTCCTCAATGGAGGAATGTTTCCCTGGTGAAAACAATCAAGGGCATTAATTGTCTGCTGTAGAGTATGCAGAGGATTGAATGGGTGATTCGGGTCGGGTGGATTTAATAATAAACTGGGAGGCAAACACTACGGAATCCGAACGCGCAGAGTTGGGAGTTTCACCAAACTTCCAGGATGGCTCAAATGGTCATTTTCAGGTGAAACCACCGCAAGAGTAAAAATTAATATTACTCATAAAATGTGTCACTGCTTCAGAGGTTCAACAAAAAAAGAAAGCTAAGAATGTGGGAGACAATGGGTACAAACAAATTAGAGGCCGAGAAAATAATTAAGGTGATTTGTTTACTCCCGGTGGCTATAATGAGAAATAGTCAGTTCAAGCATTCTGGTCTGATAAGAAATGACAAGAACGCCACTACTGCCGGTTCGTTGACATAATATATATATATATATATATATATA